CGCTATCACACCAAACAATTAATAAGAATTTTCAATTCGCACGTGCTGTGGGCTGAAAAAACGCCTAAAATAAAGTGTGGTTTTGTTTTTGGAAAGTACTTTTCGTGACTTGAGAGTGGCATAAACATAAGTCCTAAATGTTGATAAAAACGTCGACAATCATCGGAGAAAAGATTACAGTAACTCTACGCGTTCTCTCCACAAACGAACTCGACCATAAATTAAGGCTTTGTTACCAGGCGCTGTTAACGCGAGGCGAGTTTTCTTGCATTAAACTTGTCTCGCAATTTGCTGGGACGCTAGCTGTTAGAAAAAGTGGCGGTTCAGCTGTATCTACCGTAAAACTGAGCATGTCTCGCAATGTTGTTTTTTAAAATAGAATCAAACTTTAAATTTTCGTAACACTTTCTGCAACAAAAACGTTGTAAGGCAAGGCCATTTCAGGCTAGGGGTGCTACACCAAGCAGCATCTCGAGCCATTTGTCCCGCAAAGACGAAACAAAATTGCATGGGACACAAGCTGGGAAAAAATTACCTAGTCGGTTAGGCAAATAGCGAAAGAAAATGAGTTTCTCACGTGCTTTCTCTTTGGCCCACCCTCGCGATCCATACGAACATCTTCGAAGTCTATGTTCGCTGCGGCGAGAGCAAGATGAGACATCTCTCCTCTGCCACGAACAAATTTCTGTTATAAGTCTTGCTTACGAAATCCTTCTGTTCCAAAAAATTTAAAGATATTAGTTTTTCTGAGCTTTAATAAAGGAAGTTTTATCAATTATTGGTAGCCTCTGATGAATTATTTCCCTGGTTTCATTTTTGCTCGATCGCTCGACTTGCTCAATCGTGATTTGAACTCTTGAAATTGATCGAAGAAGCAGCCGCTCGAAGGAGCGACTGCATCGTGCACAATTATAAGCTTACATTTCTGACAATTTCCTGTAAGACGCAGTCTTCTGTTCTTTAAGCTTATTTTACCAAATAACGAAAGAGAGAAAGCCATTCTCGTGTTCAAGTTCAGCCTTAGACGCGCAACTCATCAATTTAAAGCCCCGGCCAAACGATCGCAACATGTCAACGCAACATATCGCAACATTGTTGGGCGCAACATGTTGCGCGGGTTTGGCCACCCTGTTGCGATGTGTTGCGACATGTTGGGTGTTGTTGGCTCAAGTTTGAAAATGATCAAATTT